CAGGGACAAAATTTATTACGGAGTACATACTCAGTAGTAGAAAAGGCTGGCACACTTTGCTGTTAGTATTTTGGCCTCTGGTCCTTAGCTGGGAGAGGTTTTCCAAAATTTGATTGTGGAAGTTATTTTTAGATGCATAAGATTTGTATTTATTAGTTGTCATTTCTTTAACATATAATGGAGTGTCAAATTAAACCCATGCTATAGAGACATATGATGTAGTTTGCTTTGAATAAATATATTATGAAAATTTCTAACCCTGGTATGGTGCCTTACACCTGTAATTCCAGCATTCAGGAGGCTGAGGCAGGAGGATTGCTGCAAGTCTAAGACCAGTCTGGGCTACACAGTGGGTACCAGGTCAGTTGAAGATATGTAGCAAGACCCTATCTCACAAAATTGTGAGCACTTCTGAAGAGTCCCAAGTTTGGAAACTACTGCTAAGGCACCTGGCTATGTCAAGCCTCTGCTTGTCCTGGCTAACCCACTCAGAATGCCTCGCTTCTGCTAGTCATCTTCCCTCACAGAGAGACACCTGTTTGGGCGTGTGGCACATGCCTTTAATCCCAGAGGCAGAGGTAGAAGGGTCTCTCTTTGAGGCCAGCCTGGCCTATGTAGTGAGTTCCAGGCCAGCCAGGGATACATATGAGACCTTGTCTCAAAAAACAAACAAACACTTACTCACTGTCAAACTCCCCAGGGCACCCTCTCCACAGTAGCTGTCACAGATACTTACTGCTCTTTTTGCAGTTATTTTCATCTTTTTCTTCCTGGATTTCTCTGCCTAACTCCTGACAGCAGGGACTATGTCCTTCCTGTTCATTGCAGTAATAATGATATGACAGCAACAGCTACATGTGCCTTGCATTTACCATGGACTGTACACTCTATACAGTGCTTTACATGTAATAACCTTGATCAGCATCACAGCAATGCTGTGGGGCAGGTGCTATATTATCCTCATTTTACAAAGGTGGGACCTGATGGAAAGAGCCAGAAACAGGCAGGGCCAGGGTTCAAACTTAGACAGTCTGGAGTCACAGCTCAAATTTTTAATAACTAAATAGGCCGTTCAATCTCAATAAATGTTGAATGTCTATTGCATGCTTTAAAGAGCTTAGTCATTATAACAGAGGAAACTAAGCAATTCTATTAAAAGGAAAGCCAAACAAGTCTATTACCTTCCTATACAAAGAGTAATAGAAGAAATTTTTTTTTTGCACCTTGATAGGAAGTCATTTTATAGAAGTTCTCAAGTACGACGGGCGTGGTGGTGCACGTCTTTAATCCCAGCACTCAGGAGGCAGAGGCAGGCAGATCTCTGTGAGTTCAAGGCCAGTCTGTCTGGTCTACATAATGAGTTCCAGGCCAGCTGGGGCTACAGGGGAAAAAAAATTCTCATGTACTACCTTCCCCAGTAAGCTCTTGAAAAAGTATTGTCCACACCAGAATTTTAAAAGGATATGTAGCCTTGGCTAGAATGCTCTGCTCTTCAGTTCTCTGTGGCAACCCCTCTGGCTTCAAAGGAAGCTGACATCATAGAAGAGACAAGGTAGGGACTCATTATACTGTTATAACCCTGCAGGCTTCAGTTCTCCCTGCCAAGGACCCCATCAATTCATCCATTCAACATTTACTAAGTGCTTACGATGTCCAGGCAAATGTGGGTCTGGGGATGAGAAACAATAAAGCTTATCTTCTAGTAGCAGAGGCAGATGATATACAAGAATAACAAAGAATTTCACATAGTGATTGTTCTGAATGAATGAAATACTGTTTTCTAAGTGAGCAGAAATGGGAGATATTTAGCGGGGGGATCGGCATCTTTGTCCAGAGCCCTGAATGGCGTGAAGGAGACTAATGCGGGGAAGTTAAGGGGGTCGTGGTGCAGGGAAGGGGACAGCAGGAGCAAAGGCCCTGGGGTGGGTAACATGTGCAAAGGTGAGAGTGAATGTAATGAAGGCCTGTCAGGGAGGCCACAGGTCACCATAATCTAGCACAGGATGGGAGAATGGGCCTGGAAAGAAATTGGCATTCTAAAACAAAAGGAAGGCACTGTCATATTTTAAACAAGTTGGAGCAACAGGGTCTGTTTTACATCATTAAAAATGTGCTAGAGTTAAATTACATCCTAACTACTTAGGATTCCACTACTCTTACAGAAGATGAAATGTAAGACTTGCTGAATGCCATCTAATTGACAGGAGAAGCAAGAATCTCCAAAGTTAAATGACTATTCCCTTGTCTGATTAGTTTTTTCCTGTTTTAATTTTGGAGTCCGTAATGGAGCCCCCTAATGGGCAGTGATCAAAAAACATAAAACGAAACCCCTGAAAACACCTTTCCACTAGCTGTAAAGTACTTATGTACAGTGAAATGGTCTAGGGACTCTCTAACAGGCACACCTAGGCTGTTTGCAGGAGGCCAATGGCCGGACTGCTAGCACTGTAAAGGGGGTGAGTTTGAGGCCAGCCTTTCCCTCACCTCTGCGGTGTTTTCTTTCCACCTTTGGAAAGCCGACTGCAGCACGAACACACAGGAGTGCTGGAGAAAAGATGGTGATTCCCTCTCCCCAGATGAAGTTTATACAAGTATGACTCTGGTCTCAGGAATGTCAAAATTCCAAATGTTGGACTCCCATGAGGCTTTGCCTTCTCCTGAAGAAAAACTGTTACAGTACATACAGAAGGTGCAGAAAAGGATGGGGGTCAACTTGACTTTCAAGCCCCAGGAGACAATCCATTCTTTTTAAGAAAGACCTAACTCTAGGAATTTGATTCCTCATCACAACTCAAAACAGTACAGTCAAAGTTTCCCTTTCAAGTATTTCATGATTTTGGGATGGGGGATGAGGTTGTGAAACTCACCC